TACTACTTTAAACTATATAAATAGTTACGTTACACATTTATTGTGTAACAGCCAATTATGCAAATGTCCGGTATGCTAATCCAATCCAATTTGTGAATGCACCTATTGAGATTTCTAAATATGGACGGAAAAAAAATTATAAATTGACATTTTTGACAGATCTATGAATAGTTAAACAACAGCAAATAAAACGTGAATCATGTCAATGCAAATGTCGACGGACATAGACGAAGCTTTTGGGTATGCGGACGACATGAATCTGGATAATGACGAAGATTTTGAATATGAGGATACGGATGATATTGATTTGAAAGGTCGTGAGAACGAAGCTTGGCTTATTAAAGTAAAAAAATTTTTTTTTTGTTCTTTAAAGTCGAATTCAACGTTGATTTACTAAATATACTGTTGTAACCATTTAGCTGCCAGCCTATTTATTTGATAAATGGGCAGACGTCGCAGACGATGAAACTGAGCTTGCTAGAGTTCAATTTTTTGTTGATTCACAGTAATAATCTTAACGTTTCGACTTTATAAAATCATTTCTTGCTTGATTTTAATAGAGATTACTTAAATTTTGTAGTGGAATTGGTAGTCAACCGGCAAAAAAATCGGTATATAACGGAATTTTGAATTCATCTTTTTTTTTTTAAATAAATTTAAGGCTTAAATTAATCTCTTTATCTTATAGTATAAATTTGTTCTATCAGACATCGAAAGACATGAAAACGAGCCTAAAGAGTATGATCTTGAGGTTATTGATGAAAATGTTGCTGACACATTCCTTTTTTATCAAAATAAAGTTGACGATAGTAAGGTTTTCTTAGATTCAACCGTTTTTTTTTTAAAAAAAAAAGTCCAGGACACTAAAGTTATTACCGGCGTATGATTTTAATAGGTGTTGAAATGGCAGCTACTGCAACACATAACTTTATAGTGAAACCAAAATTTGGGGTCGATTATAGTAAAAAGGTTCGTGAAAGGACAATAAAGGCTTCAACGCCAACCAGAGCCATTAAGATGATGGAAGATAATGAGAATCGTGGCGCTTATGTGCCACCTGGTGCATCCTCGGCTGCAATTGCCAAGTTCGGTAATCTTGTTGTAAGTAATATTCAAATTATTATCATATCTATTAATAATTTACATTTCAAGTGTCAAGTTTCTTCATTTTCTATTATCTATTTTATGATATTTAGCAAAAGAAGCAAAAAATACCGATAGATCAAAAGACTACACGTATGCCAAAGAACGAACTTATAGATTTACTATTTGGTGCCTTTGAAAAGTACACTTATTGGACGTTACGTGGTTTAAAGGATTACGCGAAACAACCGGAGGTACTTAAAACATGCAGGCTATTTCATTAATAATATCGCCATCATTAACCTTTTTTTTCTTTTTAAGTCATATTTAAAAGACGTGTTAAACGAAATCGCTTTACTAGATAAACGTGGATCATATAATAATTGTTATCATTTAAAACCTGAGTATAGTCAATCATCAGCATCAACATTAGAATCTATTGCGCCGTTAGGACTAGAAGCACCTGTTGGTGGAGTTGTTAGTGGTAATGAAGGTGGTGATGATGAGGATTATGGATTTGAAATGGGGGAAAATGATGAACTTGCAATGAATGAGAATGATTCTGATGAAGATCTATTTGGAGAATCATGATATGGTTTTAGAAACATTAGAACATTTGGAACATTGCATGGGTGGAAATAACTTTGCTACATAATAATTTGTAATTTAAATAATATTGTGCTGAGATATTAACTTAGATATATGTATTTTTTATTTTTTTTTTAATTCGATTTGTAGTTTCAATAGTCTGTTTGTAAATGTTCATTTAAAAGAACGAATATAAGTTACTTACTATAGCTTACAATTGTCATAGTATTGTTTATTGTGTAAGGAAACTATTAATTTGTTTATATTAATTATTCGCTAATAAACTCTATTCATATATTGCTATGATAATTCCATATTAAATGTTAATATCCCAGGATTTTATCTAAATTTGATTATAATATTACATAATCTATAATTGGGTCTGGGTCACTTACCCGACATTCATTTCACCGACGGTCATTAGACCGACAGGGTCATTTTACCGAAATTCTAAAAAAAAAAGTTATTTATTAAAAAATTGGCGATCAATTTCTCTATAAATTCTGTCGGTCAAATAACTGTCGGTGAAACGAATGTCGGCAAAATGACCCTGTCGGTCAAATGACCGTCGGTGAAATGAATGTCGGTGAAATAATTTTCGGGTAAATGATCGGGTCCCCTTATAATTATATGCTAGTAATTTACTTTTAAAAATATATGTTAAAATTGACTTTAATTAATAAGTAAATTAAATTTATTAATTTAAATCAAATCAAATCAAATCAAATCATAATAATAAATAAATGTTTTTTAGTATTTTAAAGATTATCAATAAATTTTTATTAAACAAAAAAATATTAATAAAATATTGAACCTATAAAAAATAATTTTTATTAAAAAAAATTATCAAATGTATATAAATTTATTCAAATAATATAATAAAATATTATATATATTGTTATGTATTTAAAATTTAAAAATTAATCTAAAATTCAAAAATAATTTTATTAACAATAAATATTTGATATTTAAAGTTAATTTTTATAAAATTATTTTATTATAATAATCATTTGAGTATTTTACTAAAAAATTTTAATAAAAAATATAATTTTAAAAGTATATTTATTAATAAAGATTAGTATAGTATATATTTAATATTTAAAGATAATTTTTACTAAAAAAATATTAATAAATATATATTAAAAAAAAGTTATTTTTATTAAAAAAATATTAGTAAAATTTATATAATTTACATTTAATCATAAAATAACTGTATAAAATCTAAATTAAAAATTATGTACATAAGTTTATAAATTTATTATTAAATTAAAAAAATCATAACAATTTATTATGTAAAATTATTTTTTTTGTACATAATTTATTTATTTTTAATAATAATTTACATATATTTTATGTTATATAATATATATACACAAAAAAATTAATATGTATAAAGAAACTATCACAATTGATAATAAAATGAAAGTTGGGTTTGACAAGTAGGTTGTCTGGATTTTTTATCTGAAATTACTTTAAAATCTAACAATTAATAAAAGTCTTGTAAAAATATATGTATCGATAATTTTAGAAAATAATACTATAATATATATTACTAGCAATTATCACAATAGAGTATGATTTAGTAAAATAGCAATTTCAATAGATTTTGAAGAATTAAATGATTATATATCATATCAAAAAATTTGTTACAGATTAGTTAATTTAATAATTTTAATAATTTATTAATATTATTAATATCTAGTTATTTATTACAACAAATTATTAACATTCTTTATTATTTTAGGCTTTATTATTGGCAGAAATATAAATAGAAAAAGACTACTTTCTACTAAATCTTATATTAATTCGGTGGTTCGATTTCAAATCTTAAAATTACTTAAATAAATACAAATATTCTCACATAAAATTAACAAATTATATAATTCTATAGCAATAGAAGTTATATAAAATATTATGCATATAATATCTCATTTTGATAAAACAAATAAATATATTATAAATAAATATATTTTTTAATAAATAAAGTTATATTTTATTTTTTTATAAAGTTATAGATCATAAAATAAGAAGTGAAATAATCATAATAATAAAAAATTATAAATGATTAAAAATATCTTTTTTTAAAGAAAATCCTGATATTAAAATTTTAAAATATATAATATATAATATAAATATAAATTTATTTTATTTTACTTCTCCTATTTACCTTTGATTAAAAAATGAGAAAAATGAATGATCTTCAAAAAAAAATTAACTTTTATAGCCTTAAAACCATTATTTGATTTTCAAAAAAAAATATTTAGCATTCTATATATTAGGAAACTTTTTAGATGCAAAAAAATTTTTTATAGAATAATAATATTCTGTAATTTTAATAGTATCAATATAGTAAGTACATCATAGGATTATACAGTTATAAAAATATATATAATATTATAAAAATTAATCTAATTTTACTTAACTCAGATTCTAATCATATAGAAAACTTATTATTATTAAAAATAAAGATAGTGCAGCAATTAATTTTAAATTTACAACATATTGTAATAAACTAAAAAGTTATCTTTTAGATCACATGATTTTTATCTTGTCACAAAATCCATCCAATCAGCTTT